GCCGCACTACCGTAGGACAGGACGCCGGGGCCTCTAGAACGCACTGGAATGTAAGCCGGCCGACTCCCTGCGTTCAGGGGCGGGAGGGGGTTGTATTGAAGTCAATGGCACCGCAGTAATGCCCCCCTGCCCACAGTGCGATCGCCCGCACCCGGAACGCAGGCACATCAGTGCCTGCATTCCGGTGCAGTGCGATCGGCAAAAATAGTGCTCGCAGCATTTTTGCGGATAATGTACCTAGGTTCCGAGTGCAGACGATCGCACTGTGGGCGAGGGGCCTGCCTGCGGTGCCATTTACTTCAATGCACCGCCACGCCCCCTCCCGCCCCTGAATGCAGGTTTTTTTTCCGTTGGTAGATCTCATTGAGCTTGTCATTTGAAAAGTAGATTTCCAGACGAAAAATTGTGGGCGCCCCTGCCTTAAGGTAACCTTCCATGGCAAACTGAAGTGTTGCTGTTTTGCCAGGCCACTGCCCCCAAACACAAATGGCCTAAAAAAATTAAACAAACTGTTAACCCCAAAATAACTTAGCTCAGCCCCAGTCCCTGATGGTTCTGGGAAGCACAAGTGACATCACTGTGTCATCCAGCACTGCTGAAAGCTCAGAATCGGGGGAGAATTCACTCCAGCACATTGCAAAAGTGCATTTTTGTAGGATTTCGAATGCCCAAGTCTGCCTTGACGTTGCATTGCCCTCCCGAAAGCATTGGAAGCTGGGGCTGAAGGAAGTATTTAATTTTGGTGAATGCTTTGTGTTTGCAATTGATGGTCTGCTTTAAGTATAGGTAAGTTAGCAAAATGTTATGTGCACCAGTTTAAAAAGTTGCTCGAGGATTATAAGTTATTTTGAAACAATTGGGTTATACTGCTGCCTTCAAGAGGAATTGGACACAAGCAAACCAAAAAAATATAAAAGATGCCCAACCAGGTAGAAATCTTCCCACTCCCATCATGCTTGAGTCTTTGGTGTTCTAGGAGGATGGACGTATCTTCTCTTTGGGCTAAACATTTTTTACTTTTGTTTAAACAAAAAAAAAGCTTTTGTTATTTCAGTAAGTCTTTTATTTCGTTTTGCTGCCGGGCAGAGCCGACGATGTTTCTAAAGTTTACTAGTATTTTGCTTGTGTGCCGCAGAGTGCTCTCCAGTGCCTATGACTATGGTAGGTCCTGGTGCAGGAATCCCAAATCTCCCGGTTTGAATGAGGCCTTGTGCATATTTTTAATTAGAGGGGAAAAAATTAGGTTATTGTGCTGACAAATGTGTCTCTTTGACATTCATGTTATAAAAATAGATCAAAGTTAAAAAAAACATTTGCCAAAAAAGTTGTAATTTTTTAAGATTACCTGTTTTGTTTCAGTGGTGTCTGCCATTTTCTAATAGCTGAAAGCTGTTGATGGCACACAGGGTGGTAATGAGACACATTTATTCTAGAGAGGTTCTTGGTGGAGAGAATCTGTCATCCTGGCTGCTGGAGTTGAAAAGAGAATTGTGAGAAAGTAGTGTGACATTAATGGCTTGCCTCTAACTGAAGCATCGTTCTCTCACTTCTTTTCACCAGCTTTTCCTGTGAAGGATGTGAAACATATGCCTGATAAAACACTTCTTGGAATTCCTGTTATGAGGTCATTGTGGAAAACTCAATTTCAAGATAAGAATCCCATAATAGCCAGTCAAGTTAGGGTAAGGGTGCCAAAAGTAACCAAAATGCTCTACATCAGAATAGTGTAAACTACAATACACTGTATCGCATTCTTAAGATGGTATCAATGGAGTTTCCCCACCACAGTTTTGAACTAGGGGTTAATACCACATGTATCTACAGCAGACAGTATGTTGGTTGTATCTGTTCTACCAACCAGGGGATTTGTATGCACAGGATATAAAGGAATGTTCACAGTCCTGACTACACTGACCTGTTGCATCTGTTTAAAAGCTGCGCATAGTAACTATTTCTAAAATGCCCCTATTATTACTTTTCTGTAAAGTATGCAGTATTAAGGAGCTTGTAGAAAGAGACACTAACTTTTTTTTGGTCCGTTGAGAGGCACAGGAATTCACATACTGTCAGGTAATACTGCCATCTACAGGAGGAATGAACCCTGACAAAAACAAGATTGCGGGCCAGCCCATTACAACTCTACTACTGCCAGCAAATCTGTTTGTTATTTTCCCCTTTCTCAATATCTTTATTTGTGTACACAGGAAGTACAAATTAACCATGTTATCAGTTTGCTATCTACATCATCATCAGAGCTCAGTTGCATAATATGATACCTGTAGGTGGAAACTCGTATCCAGTTGCAAGACCTAATATATACCTTTGGGTTATTAATAAGGGTGGTTGTTTCAAAGAATGCAAATCATTCTAGTTGACAATAATGATGAAGGAACTAACTACTTGAATAAAGAGGTAAGGGTGGGGTGTGTCGGGGGGCAGTAGCCAGGTCCCTACATTTTAAAGCGTGCGATGGTGCAAGGTATTGAGTATGTTGCACAGGGTTCCCAGCTTCCCCCACCACATACAGGTCCATTATATCAGTTAACTTGGCTGTCAGTTTTTCAAAGATCAAGGTTTGGGTCCACCTTGCCCTTACTTCAGAGATGTGAAGGGTTTGCTGTGATTTGGAAACAGCTTGTTTAGCTGCAGTAAAGAGGTGGGTGAGAATCTTACAATGTGTATTTATCAATATTTGATGGTTTAGAGTTTGGCAAGGCTTTATAGGGATCTTTGTGAATGTGAGTGCCCATAAAGTACATGTGCTATTAGGTAGGGATGCACCGATACTGGTTTCTTGGTATAGAGTACCGATTTTTTTCCTGGTACTCACCGATATCAGGGCCGTGTGCCCCAATCATCAGGAAGTCGAGCGGTGGATCATGACCTGTCGCCAAGCTTCCTGATTGCCTGGGAAGCCCGTGTTCTATCAAAAGAACACCGGCTTCACTTGCTGAGGATTCCTGATTGGTCAGGAAGCCAGGCTAACTAGCAACAAGTGAAATTGGCTTCCTACCCAATCAGGAAGCTTGGTCATAACCCACCGCCAGGCTTCCTGATTGCAAAGGAAGCCGGCTCCCTTGGCACTGGCGGGCAGAGGGAGATCTCTCTCTGACTGGAAGTTCCGGTATCGGAGGTATGTACAAGTACTCGCCAAAATACTTGGTATCGGTGCATCCCTTCTATTAGGTAATTGTCCTAAACGCCATTCATTTTGAGTGGCAGCCCAAAGTACTGCACCATTTTGGTACATTGGCAGCCTATTATTTTCAATTGACTGCATTAACGCACTGAAAAAGAATGTAGATGGGCCCTCGGTAATCCAGCCTCAGAGTATTCAACCCTCCCCATTGTAACGCACTCTAGCACGGGTGTGTTATTTGATTTTCTCCTGTATATGTGCATTGGGGCTGACCATTTAATCCACATTATTTTTTTTTTCTGCCATGTGACAGCCAGGATCATTAAAACCTCTTCCTGTGAGTCCAAGTCATCCTGGACCCACCCCAGCCTGTGACTGGACAGTTAGAGAAGCAGCACAGTAATGAGCTCATCTCTCTGCCACAGTTTTCCTCTATTACCACATGAACGGATTGGATCCTTGTACTGCTTCTTCTTCATCTAACACTCCAGTCCTGCTATAAATGGACTGCAGAAGGTGGATATCAGCAGGTCAAATTCAAGTGCCTACATTTTATATTTGCATAGCGTTGAGCTTTAAAGTCAGTCTGACTCTGCCCACTGTGGCCAAACACTAACCATCCTAGAGGGAAAAGTGCACCTTTAAAGCCCTCTGACTGGGTAAAGAAAAGCTTTTGACAAGAACAGACTCAATGTTAGAGAAAGCTTCAGAGGCTGAGGATTTTAGACACGTAAGGCCACATATGTTAAAATCTGATTTTGTACTGTAATCCACATTTAGATTTTGTACTGTAATCAGAGTGTAGCAGTTCACATAAAATTCTCAGTAAATGCTCAAAAGTAAAATGTGCGTAGCTTAGTAAATAAGGTTAGGCTGTGTTTGAGAGTACAAATTGTGACAGAATAAAACATATGCAGAAGGATTTTTGCTTCTATAGGCTTGAAGTTTGCACAGCTTCACCAAGCCAATATTGACTGAATGGCCTTTATCCATTTATTATATTGACCCCATTAGATGAGCTATGAACAGTACATATTTCATTCATCGATAAATATTGTAAAGTTGTCCACACACACACACACACCTCAAAATCTCTTTGAATTATTACTTAGTTTATAAAAACTATGTACAGTATGTGTCCAGCTGTATGGGAGGTAGAGCACACTGGAAAGTCTGTGCCATACCAATTAGAGAACTCCAGGACTTTTTTTAAATGAACTCTTGCAATAAGGCTACTCCCACACTCCAAGGGTTTAGCACTCGTTTTGGGCCAAAAATAAAGAAATTATTCTCTGTCTCACCTGGCTACTAGACTAATCCCCGAAGCCTCTTCTCCCCTGGGCTCCAGCAGCCTAAGGACCCGTGTCGTCATCAATTCTAATATAGGTCCATTAGAGTTGAGGACACAGATGGACAAACCATAGCCGGAGTGGAGGGGGCGAGGTGAGCAGTCATTGTTGCAGAACCAAGGATGAGGAGAGTTTATCCTCTTTATTTTCGCCCCTAGACCAAAATGAGCATGTAACCCTTGTAATGCTAGAGTAGCCCAACTGAAAAACTGGAGTACTTTTTGTTATTTCAGAACTAGGTCCTCATGTGCAATGCAACCTGGCATATTTTTCCCAGTTTAGCATTCAACAGATCAATACGAGACACTTTCAGGTAAAAAAACATCTGGATTCATAAATATACAAAACTGTAGACTTTGTGTAGATTTTTCAAGTAAGATTTTGTATATAATTTAATGCGTATGCATCTGTTTTACATTCCAATGTCAGTGTATCAGATTGGAGGAACAGGAAAAATACAGGTAGTCACTGAATGTATACACAATGGTATGCAATTCATTACAGTGGATATGAAGTCTCGGATTCCAAGCCAGACACCAAAATACAAAACCCTCCACCACTGCAGGCTTATACAATTAAGGCAGATGACAGAAAACACAGGCAGCGGCCCTTGATGTACAGAATATTCCTCTGCCTGCTTGCTGGGGCTCACAATATCACTGTCAGCATCTAAAGACTAAACCCATCACTTAGGATTCTTTCTTTTTAATGATTAAAGGGCCCACGTTGTCACCGGTCTCATCATTATGTTTCGTGTGGGCTCCATCACAGTATGGGAACTAGAAAGAAAAAAAAAAACACAATTAAGTCAAATAGAAGTCACAAACATTCCCACCATAGCACCTTCTGTCCATCCAAAAGCACCAGCTTCTTATACGTTTCCGGCAGTGAGCTCTCCGCGTCTCTGCTTCCACGCGTCTTAGCATGTCCCAGCACCTTACCATTGCCTTCCCCAAATACAAATAAAAGTTTAATCAGGAAAAGCTCGTAATGGGAAGCTTCATAGTCCCAGGAACTCAATCCCGGGATCTCCCAAATAGAGTGCAGAAAAAAAAATGCAAGAAAATATCCCGACCCACAGGACGTTCTCACACAACTACGATTAGGAGATCACAAGTAGCTTTCTGTACACCGTTTCTAAATTTCTTCTTGAATGACTAACCACCTCTGCAAAGACCTAGATGTCTTGTTACAGCCATTCCCTGCAGCAGAAGCCTACTGTAGCGAGATACAATGAGAGTTCTGTAGACAAAAGGCATGCCAGGAATGCTCCTTTTCGTACAAAACTGTGCTTCCCCAATGATATTTTAACTCCATTCTTACCAACGGTATTGGCAAGGACTATGATTTCCTCCTGAATACAAGCTCACAATCTGCAGTAAAATTTGCCAAGATCCCTGCTCTATATAGAAACAAATATAGTACCAGTACTGCCTTGTACAAGCTCCAGAACTTTCATACTGATCCTTGTTTCACTCCTGGTTAGTCAGTGACCTGAAAGGTGTATGTGCCCAATAGGGGTAAGATTATTACACGTCTATTCCTGGTCAGAGACTCCAGAAATTGTAAAGGCAATAACAAGGTTACTTTTATAGAAATGAGAAAAATTGAGAATTAAAGCACACATTTCCCTAATGGGTAAGGAAAACGTTCCCTTATACATTTGGTGTAGCCCAACCCCTTATTTGCAAAGCTTGCCTAGTTCTTGCTCTGAAGCCCACAGCACTGTTTACATCCCTCCATGGTCTTCATGATCCAATGTCTGCGTCTGCACAGTTCAGCCCAAAAAGGTTTTATGGGGCTGGTAGACGGATTGACTCCTATGACTATCTAAAAGTAGCTTATAGATCCGGAGGGGGGTACCAGGTACTGAACCCGCCAACAAAAGTCTGATAGAAATCTTTCCAAAAGGTTATGTAGCTGAACTGCGCAAATGAAAAAAAAAAAATACATTTAGCAAAGTTATTACTTTGATTACGTTTTGTTCCCACTCACATTCTTTGATCTCCAGCATCGGCAATAAACTGCTTTGTCTCCCAGATCCTCCATGTCAAAAGCATGAACCACCTTGGGATTGTCCTTCTGTATCCCCTGGTTTACCATAGCTTTGCAGCACTTGTCTTTACAGTAGAAGGATCTATACGCCAGATAGCCTACAGCAGCGGCACCGACAGTCAATACGGCAGCCCCCGCCCACTCTGTCAAGTAGAAAAGCAAAAAATTAAAAGAAAATAAGTGCACATGAAAACATGACACTACAGGACAATCTGCAACAAAATCAATTGTCCACTAAATCTGATTGGCTGCATTAGGGTATTTATTTTACGGTTATTGAATAAGCCCATTAAAATACAGGTGAAACTCGAATAATTAGAATATTGTGCAAAAGTAATTGCAGTAAGTTCTGCAAAAGGGGCCCAAACCAAGTACTGAGTACATATGCATGCTTGTACTTTTCAGAGGTCCGATATTGTTCTATGTACAATCCTTGTTTTATTGATTGCATGTAATCTACTTTTTTGAGGTTGTGGATTTGGGGTTTTCATGAGCTGTAAGCCATAATCATCACAATTATGACAAATCACGGCTTGAATTATCTTGCTTTGCATGTAATGAGTCTATCTCATATATTAGTTTCACCTTTTAAGTTGCATTAGTGAAATAAATGAACTTTGCACGATATTCTAATTATTCGAGTTTCACCTGTATATATATTTCCATCTCTCATACATATATTTGTTTATTTATTTAGATCTCCATTGCCTGATTTTATTGCTTTCTGGGTCCCTGTTCGCCAAATTTTCCCTCCCTTCCTGCTCTGACACCCATCAAGCACATGGACAGCAATACAGACCAGGCAGAAGTTCATATTTGTTGCCATTCTACCCATTACTAAACAAGAACACATCCCTTGGCCTGGAGTTGACATCTAAAGAGACATTGGGAGAAATTAATGAAAACCGGAGCAGGCAGAATCCAGAGCAGTTGATCACAGTAACTAAACAGTAACTAATCAGCTTCTAGCTTTAGTATGTTCAGTCAAGCTTTGAAAATGAAAGAGAGAAGTGGATTGTTACTATGAGCCTCTGCTCCAGTCTTGATAAATTGCCCCCATTATATTTAATGGCAGGCTGTATGAAGATCATCATTAGCATGACAAAATGTCAGCCACTGAAAAGCTTTTCAGCTGACAGCTAGTCATAAGATGGAGTGGAACCTGAACCGAATCACAGCCACTCCTTTAAACAAGTGTGACAGTAGAAGGAATGCAACTTTACACCCAATTCTACAAACAATGGCTTCCTATACAGGGGAGAACAAGCACAGATCACAGCTATACCCAAAACTTATCTATGGAGGATTTCAGGCACCAAATGACAGCTTTGTGTGTCAGGCCTATCACTACAATTAGATATTTAAAGTGCGAGCCCAATCAAAACTTTCATAGACTTGAATTTTGTGGGAAAGGGGGAGAAACCGCCATAAGATGAGAACTGGGTTACAGGGATCTATTAGAGAGATTTCTCCCCCTGTCCTGCTGACAATGTTTTACCAGACAGGAAGTGAGGGGAAGTCTCCAGCACCAACATAGGAACTGGCTATTTCACAATGCATGCCAAGGTTGGAGCCATCCCCACAGCTCAGCTCGGAGCCCTGTACAGGAACTGCAAGCGGCTATCGGGTCAGATTCAGGGAGTAATATTGGAGTGGCCCCCCCCCCCCCCCCATTTTCTGGCAGAGAATACATACAAATACTGTATTCCTCACTCCCCCAACATCCAGCGCTCTCAGGATGTCAGCAGGATGTTTCACCATCCTTCCATACAATGCAGGTCTTCTGCTCCTGCACTGTATATGATGACATCAGAGAGCAGTGACTGTTCAGCAAGCAGTGCAGCTTCCAGCGACCACACTGGGGGATCAGGGGGCAAGGCAAGTATTTGCAGCTATTGCTTCCCACCCATGGCCAAGGGAGCATTTAACCCATGCACTGCCACACTCCATGGCTACCTTTACCAGAAGCTTTATTCATTTTTAACTGCAGACAAGGTCACTTTAATCAGACCCTGCCACTACATAGTTGCTGACAAACCTACAGGGACATGATACAACCAGACTGCAATGTGAGTGACCAGTTTAAGCATGACTAGGTCCACCAGAGTGAGTTTCAGCCAGTATTACACAGTCAAAAGTCTATCACACAATCCGATCCCTTCATAGCTGTGTCAGTACAGTGATATGATGAAGGGGGAGGGGGGGCTCACCTCGAACTCCATAGCTGGTACTCATATCTTCCCTCTGATCAGTACGGGAGGAACAGTCAAGGACACAAGCCGATCAGGTCACACCTACTGCTTCCAACACCGCCGCAGAGCAAAGCTGTCATTAATCACTACTGGACCAGGCACTAGAAGAAAAACTCATGCTCTATACTTGTCTGAATTTCCCCACACCATGCAGTCTTCACTGTAGATAAGACTCATAGAACTAAGCCACAGAAAAATGGCGACGAACGTGGAGTCATTTTCTATGAGATTGTTGCGCCTCTAGGGAAGCGAATGCTCATGCTCTTGCATCATAGGCTATTGCACCGAGAGCGTCATCTAGCGTCTGGCAGAAGAATAGCAATTTTTGCGAATTAAATCCAGCTAGAGCAGCATATTCATTATCATTTAACTGAATTACCTGAAGTCTCAAAATATCTGTATCAGTTGACAGAAATTATTTTGTAAATAAAAGTTTAACTAAAGCCTATTTTTTCTAGTTTTGGCAGAATAGTGAATAGATGGAACCGTGTCACGTTTATTTTTTAAAGTCTGTGTCCAATTGGGTGGGGCGGGGGGTCGGGGGATATACCCAGGGCCGGATTTTCCACAAAGCCAACCAAGGCCTGGCCTTGGGGCAGCAGGGAGTAGAGGGGCAGCAGGGGTGTGGAATTCCTATCTCCCGATTCCCGGGACATGCAGTTCCGCTCGCTGGGCGGGTAGTTGTTTTCTACATTTAGCCCCGCTTTGGGCAAGCAGAGCTAAATGTACAGCGGGGAAGCCGCCGCTTGTTTTGTACAAGTGATCTCGGTGATTTTGCAGAGATCACTTGTATGCAGCCTGCAGGTCTGCCATTCTCCATGGAGGGGTTGACGGGTAGGGGGGCGCATTGATGAATCTGGCCTTGGGGCAGCAGAAAGAGTAAATCCGGCCCTGGATATACCCCTTGCTTCCTGTCCTAAGACACTAAGTCACAGAAGACTGGAAGTTTTCCCCTTATCCACTGTTCAAGTGACAACTGTAAAATTTAGGGTTTTCCATCACTTTCTCACAATGGTCCCCAAGACAAACAGGGAGGGCAAATCTTTCCAGAAGGGACACAGGCAGCAATAAAAACCTAGATATGGTCATCTCGTGGAGTTATCTCGTGGCCCAACAAAGTACTGATGGGGTGGTCATAATAATCTGGCCACTCAGTGTATATTAGTCCCATAAAAGGAACAGAATAAAAACACCTTAAATTTGTCAAAAGACTTAAAAAAACTTACAATTGGAACAGTATGGGTCTTGTCTCAGATTGATTGTGTGCAAAAAAAGAGTGGAGTTTGATATGTTCTATGTAGAATGAAAATTTGAGTCAACCCATGCGAAGAGGGACAGAGGTTCCTGCACAATACCATTCCATTCATCCTCCGGTATATCATCTGAATCACTTTCACAAACTATTTTATAATTTTTTGGTAAATATTTGAATAGTAATGTGGAATACATATACAAGATTATTCCCTTGGTAGTGAGTGAACCAACCAACATCTCAAATACAGAGGTATGGCATATGATGGGCCCATCCTGGCCCAGTTGTGCATGTAGATACTTCGACGTTTAAAGACAAAGCAGATTGTAGATGCTGAAAAGAGTGTAAGGCGTCATCTTTATAGTTGGGATAGTTAGATAGGGTCAAAATACTTGCCAAGATAGGGGAATCCTCATAGTTTTAGAAATCATGACATTATAAAATTCAGGTAAATAATAATTTTCCAATATGGGGGTATAAATTGTAAAATTTTCGATCTGAATGCTACATCTTACCAATAAGGGTTACAGTAGGCAGTGCTGAAAAACGTTGCTGAATACGTTGTCATTAAATACATTTTAACCATGAAGTAGACTTTAACTTTTATTAGCAAGAACCACCATGCTTAGTCTCCAAGACTCAAGGTTGCTATCAAGCAGTAGATATAGGCAAACAGTTTTTTTTAAAACAAAAAAAAGCTTTAACAGCGGTTTAAACTTACCTTGTTTTCGTTGCGCGCTCCCGCCAGGGAATCCGAAACTGTTCGGGCGGGCCGCAAAGCATCTTGGGGCGGGCGCATGCGCAGTTCGGATTCTCGGCCTGGAGATGAGCAGGCACGCAAGGTATGTCTGTGGGCGCGTGCACCCGCATGCAGACAACGAGGGATCTGAAGTGCCAGCAAAGAGAGAGGAGTCAGCACTGGATTGGAGACCCGCCGCACCGCTGGAGGGACAGATGAAAACATCAGGAAAGAAGAAGATCGGATTAAGAGATATCATTTAAGGTAAGTGCTTACATTAACATTGGGGGAGGGAAAAAATATTTATCCTTTAATGTCACTTTAAGGTGCCCATACACTGGTCAAATTTCGACCGGTTTTGAATGTACTGGGCGAAACTCGCACAGTGTGTGGGGCTGTTGGCTTCCTTTCAGCCGGCATGCCTCGATAAGCTGATCGAAGGATCTGGCTGGAAAGTTTTCGCTCGATCAGAGCCGGCAGCCAAAGAGCTGCCCACTCTGATCGGGTATTCTGACAGGTGGCGGCAGCACCTGTCAGAATACAATGTAACCAGCGATCGACGCACTGTTTGTGTTGATGGAGGAATCGGGTCAATTTTTTTCGTTCAGCCCGTGGGTTGAACGAAAAAAAATTGACAGGTGTATGGCCAGCCTTAGATTAATCCAGATGAGTCCAGCTGCCGGTCCTGAAGTAACTGCTGACTCTGCCCAGTGACGGGAGTGACTATAGAAGTTAAAAGTTAACAGGCACCACAGACCTCTATTTGAATATTATTCATTTTAAAAACACATGGGTGATAGCGGTGACAATCCCATGGGGCCAGTTTCCTATTTTTTCTTTCAGGCCCCTAATTGATCAAAGCCCTAACATGGTCACTTCTACCTGCTAACCCCTTCTTGATGCCTAAATTCTCCATGAGCTCAGACTGAAAAGTAGGAGTAGCCAGAAGTGGTCAGCCATCCCAAATTGATGACTTCATAGTTTCGGAGTGTTCTGAGCTAACTCTCTATCCCATTGGGCTGCAATTGGAAGGACACAGAGGAGGCATAGAGGGTCCAATTGATGGATGATGCCCCCCATAAAGAGAGCCTGTCAATACCCAAGTCTGCACTCACCTAGGGGGCATGCCAATCCATTAAAGTTTATTTTCACTTTTGCAATCACATTCGAGAAACCCCAACTATATGTTTGTTATATGTTCCTATTCAGACAGCATACCGAAAAATATATTTTTAAAAAGATATTTCTAACCTTTTAGATGTCTCTATTTTGCAGCTCTTTGCAAGCTTCTCTCTGAATTTCAGTAACAGAAAACTCTGACAGTCCTAATGGAAAGACTAAAGACAGACTAATGTCCCTCTCATTAACATACAATGAAAGCAGCCAAGCTTCTACATCTCTAAAGCTGGCCATACACCTTACAATTATCTGCAGATTTTCTGTGGTCAGATCGAAAAGGTGCAACAGATTCCATCTACACTTAACTGTGTGGATGGAGTAATCTCCACCTGGGCCAATCTGTTGCACTTTTTCCATCTGACCACAGAAACTCTGCAGATAATTGTAAGGTGTATGGGCACCTTAACCACTTGTTAGAGCAGACGTTGTTCAAATCTAGTTTACAGCTTATAATGAGATCTGCCAGCACAGTACAGACAGGGTTAATTATCAAAAACATTACACCCCACCCCCCCCCTTTCTTT